GGAGGGACCTACAGTTTTACGCCGACTCCGAACGGCGATTGTATTTTTATGAGAAGCTGTTTTTCATGGCAGAAATACACTCGGAGGTTTGCCATTGCCTGCCGAGGGACGACCGCTGTTAAGAAAAAACCTTTTTTCTATATTTTTGCGATGTTGCTTTGACCAGGGTTTGAACCCAGGCATTGTGGAGTGGAAGCGCGCACTGCTTACCACTACACCACAGCGGCCGACAGCTATCAGCATTCCATGCCAACCCATAAAAACGGTTGTCGTTAATTTAGTTAGAGTATTTTTGTCTGCCTTGGGAGGGTGGGAGGAGGGATCAATCCGTGTGATGGGGAATAAGTGAAGTTGCCTATATTTGCATTTGTTGTGCTCGCTGCTATTGGGGGTTGCTGCTTGGTGATGCTCGTTGGCAGTGGATTGCGGGACCATTTGTTTTGGATCGGATGCTGTACGTAGGATTAATTAAAACACGATTTCTTTAAATTGTTATTAACACAATAATGCTTGTTTTTTTTTAATTCATAACTTTTTGCTTAATTCAAACTTTTAGCTTTATAACATAAGAAAATAAGTATTTTGTTTTTTTTTTCCTTATTTTTTTACTTTTGATAGTTTATGCGATTTGCGAGAGGTTAGTAGCTTAACTTTCTTTTTTATATGCATGTGCGAATTTTTAAATAGAATAATATCAAGAACAACAACAATGACAACACATTTATGACTATTGTACTCAAAAAACAATACAGAACGGGGTTTTCATTTTATTCACTGCAAGAGTCATACTCGCTTTCAGTTTGCCTTGTATTAGCATTAGTATTGTCATTGTCGCTGGTATTGTTATTAACGGTGTGCGAATTTAAAATTCTTTTCCTGCTATTCTCACTGCCGCCACACTTAGTTCTATAATTATGATCAGTAGTTTTACTACGTTTTAAGGCACCTGAATTATCAGTACTGTGCGTATTTTTTTGCTGCTGACTACAGGAACTCTCAGCATCAACAACGTCCATGCTCGCACGAGTTTGGGTAATCAATTTCCATAGACGCACTTCTACGCCCAATCTGTACGTGGTTAAGAGTTAATTAGAAATTATGGAAATATAAATAATTAAATACGTTTTGTTTACCTCAACTCCAGTCGCATCAAATCTAATTTTTCCATATTGAACACAAAATCTTCATAAGTGAAACCTTCATTAAGTATTATAGTCTGCGAAAATTCGTCAATGTCATGGTTGGTGAGCCACTGCGCCAGCTGCTCGTCAATTTCGCTAATACCATATGTACGTTTGTTTAAATTGCGATGGAAGTTGTGTTGTTTATGTGCAGTTGAACGGTTGGGACGCCGATGAAGCGTAGCAAACGGGCGCCTGCGAATAAGATATGTAATGAAATGTGAACAACTGAATATGATTCTAAGAACTTTTTTCTTATCATAAACGAAATTGCGTATACNAATAAGTATTTTGTTTTTTTTTTCCTTATTTTTTTACTTTTGATAGTTTATGCGATTTGCGAGAGGTTAGTAGCTTAACTTTCTTTTTTATATGCATGTGCGAATTTTTAAATAGAATAATATCAAGAACAACAACAATGACAACACATTTATGACTATTGTACTCAAAAAACAATACAGAACGGGGTTTTCATTTTATTCACTGCAAGAGTCATACTCGCTTTCAGTTTGCCTTGTATTAGCATTAGTATTGTCATTGTCGCTGGTATTGTTATTAACGGTGTGCGAATTTAAAATTCTTTTCCTGCTATTCTCACTGCCGCCACACTTAGTTCTATAATTATGATCAGTAGTTTTACTACGTTTTAAGGCACCTGAATTATCAGTACTGTGCGTATTTTTTTGCTGCTGACTACAGGAACTCTCAGCATCAACAACGTCCATGCTCGCACGAGTTTGGGTAATCAATTTCCATAGACGCACTTCTACGCCCAATCTGTACGTGGTTAAGAGTTAATTAGAAATTATGGAAATATAAATAATTAAATACGTTTTGTTTACCTCAACTCCAGTCGCATCAAATCTAATTTTTCCATATTGAACACAAAATCTTCATAAGTGAAACCTTCATTAAGTATTATAGTCTGCGAAAATTCGTCAATGTCATGGTTGGTGAGCCACTGCGCCAGCTGCTCGTCAATTTCGCTAATACCATATGTACGTTTGTTTAAATTGCGATGGAAGTTGTGTTGTTTATGTGCAGTTGAACGGTTGGGACGCCGATGAAGCGTAGCAAACGGGCGCCTGCGAATAAGATATGTAATGAAATGTGAACAACTGAATATGATACTAAGAACTTTTTTCTTATCATAAACGAAATACGGTATAAACACTAGCTTCTAACAAACCTCGCTCTACGCCGTCCTGAATAGATGTGCGCCAATTCTTTGCTTATATTTTGTAATGCCTTCAGCTGCTGCTTCTGTTGTTCCAAGTGCTGACGTTGAAATTGCTTATCGTTGTCCTTCATGTCACGTAAAATGCGCACACATTCGCTCGGTGAAAAGCTGCCATCGTCCTCTTCAATCAATGCGGTGACTATAGTCTGTTCTCCAATAATCTTTTCCTGGCTATCAGTTGAGGTATGTTGCGGATTATGTACGCTTTCGTCGTCATTGCAGGATAGTTCCTTACCGGCTAAGTTGGCGCCAAGCTCTGAGAAACAAAAACAAAGAGGTTTAATCATACAAAATTAGTTTAAAACAAATTTCTGCGTACACACCTGGGGACAGGATTGTTACGGCCGCCTGTACAGCACTTTTTACTAAATTATCCAATGCGAACATCCAATGTGGTTTGATGAAATGTGAACGCAATACTGTGACTACAGCATCTTGAAAAGCATACAATGCCAAGTGTAAATGATCCACGGCAACGTCGTCATTTAGCTTTTGCTTCAGTCCCATTATTGTTGCCTCTAAATTCTTTTCCTTCTCGTTAACAATATACTCGCGCAACCCACGTATTAGAGTTTGCAACTCAGCTTTTGTTATTAGCACGCTGATTTTATGATCCGTTTGTATGCGATCCATCCACAAGTTACAAATTTTATCCTCATCCATTTTCAATACCTTTGACAAGGTGGTGCGACGCTGCGAATCTTTCTTCAAACGATAGAAGCCATCGGTTTCACTGGTTTCGCTGGGGTTAGTGCGCAGCGATGGTGTGGAAGCCTCGATTTCGGGTGACAGTAGAAAACCGGATGAGTTGCGACGCTCCAGTGCGAACTGTGTGCTGGGCAGCTCATCGATATCGACGGAAGACGAGTGAGTTATTCTGTGAAAAGCGGGAGAGTTTAAATATCGAATACCATGAGAGGGGGGAGAGTTTAATATCGAATACAAGAGCTATTGCACTTACTCCAGCTCAGGCGTGGTAGGTGTATTGCAAGTACCAGCGCTGATTGAACTCATGAGGGCAGGCAAGGTAGACTTATTTACTAAACGATCGGCAGGCACTGAGATGCTGCGTCCAAATTCCGATGAAGAAGGTGGATTCAAACGCAATTTGCGATGTTTGCTAAACGAATGAAGAATGC